AGGCCCTCCTGGCCACCTCTGGCTTTCCTGGCCTCCTCTGGCCCTCCTCGGCCTTCCGGCCGCGGGCGCACCCTTGGGCGCGCGACGACGCGCGCTCATCCAGGCGGCGGCGATCGGCGAGGGCGAGCGAGCGCGGGCAAGGGTGTGCATCACGATGCCGGATCGGTTTTTCTTGGATCGTTTTTTTGTCGGATCGGTTTTTGTTCCGGATCGGCAAAACAAATCCTGAGGACCTCCGGGCAGCGCTGCAAGGCGGCCGCTGGCAACGGGGCTCGCCTCGCGCGGGGCCTCCGCGACCCAATCGAAGGCGGGGGGCCGCCGGCCGCCCCGGCCCTGCCGCGGGCGGCGGGCGGAAGTCGGGGTGGCCGCGAAGGAGAAATATATCATCTCGTCATCGCGGCTCGCGACTGACGCGGCGTAGCTATCGCCCTGCTCCGCCGCGAGGGCGACGGGGGTCACCCGGCTGGGTGGCCGACGAACCCGGGCCCCGGCGGCGCGGCATGACCTCGCGCCCCTTGCCGCGAGCCGAACCCCGGGAGGGGGCTCGGGCGGGGGCGGCGGCGGCGGGTCGCGGGCCCGGCCCGCCGCGACGGCGTCGCGGTCGGCGCATCAGCGGGCCCCGCTGGCAACCGCGCGCCCGAGGCGGCGGCGGCCGACCCGCGTGCAGCGCCCAGGCGCGCCGCGCGGTAGAGGCAGGCGCGGCTGCGACGGTAAGGCGCGCCCCCAGCGCTCCGGCCGGCTCCGGCGTGCCCGACAGCTCGGCATCCCCCGCTAGGAGCGGCCCTGCGTCTCGCGCCGCCTGATGACAGCACTTGCCCGGCGCCGACTGCTGCGCGCGCCCGTCGCGGCCGTGGAAGATTGGTCGGCGCGACGCTTGCGCCCCTCCGGCCCCGGCCTCGTCTCCGAGAGGTCGCGGCGCGCAGCGATCTCGGGCGGCGGGGGGGCGCCGCGCCGGCGGCGCGAGCAGGGGCCCTGCCGTCGACGCCCCCTGGCCGGGCGCAGCTTGCCCCGCCGCCCTCCGGCGCGCAGCCGCTACTGCCTCGTCTTTGCGCGCGCCGAATTCGCCGCTGGATGCGCGGCGGCGAATGGCAGCGGCGGCGAGAAAAGGAACGGGGTCGACATCGAGCGACCAGATGCCGCTGAAGGTAGCGTCGGAACCGCCGAGGTCGAAATCGCCGTTCAACTCAGAATCTCACTTGGCGATCCCCTGGTGGAAGAAATCAATCCTCGAAAGCCGTCGTGGATGAGGTTCGGGCCTTCCTCATCGCCGCTCTCACCTCAATCCGACATGTGATGCTGGGTGGTTGTGGAACGCGCGATCTGGATGGTCATTCTCGATGCACCGAACATAAATTTGAACCCGCGACACCTTGTCGCGTCGCGTCCCTGGGGCTCGTCCTCGGCCCCGAGGTGCTTCTTCGCCGGCGGCGTTGATGGCGACCCGCGAGGCGAGGCGATCAGCGCCGGCGCGGACGTTTCTCTGGGCAGCTTCTGTTGCGGACCCTGGGTCGAAAGAAGATGCGCGTAAACTTGCGTCGGTGATGTCTGGGGCTCGCGAGCGTGGCAGAGATGGAGACATCGAGCGGCGGATCCAAGGGCGCGCCTAACCACTGACCTGCCGATGGGGTTCGCGTAGAAGCTGTTCCGGTCCCCTGGCATCACCAACTCCTCCCGTCAGTCCCAGGCTGCGCCACACTTACTGTTGCCCTTGCCTTAAACTTGGCTGATCCACTCCATGCTGTTCATACTGTCGATGTCTGCGCCCTCTACCTTGCCACTGATGTGCGTGAAATGCGGCGGGGGCGGCTGTCCACCCGTGGCACTCCATGCACGTGGCGGTACCGACGGCATACCACACCCGGGTGTTCCAGGCGCCCACTGCTGCGGTAGCCCATGCTGCGGTACTGGTTGCAACCCCTGCTGCGGCACTTGGCGCCCCCTACTGCGGTACTCTTGGCGCTCCTTGCTGAGGTGCTCCATGCGCTCCCTCCTGAAGTACTCCTGGCGCTCCCTGACGAAGTACTCCAGGCGCCCCCTGTTGAGGTACTCCATGCGCTCCCTCCTGAGGCACTCCAGACGCTCCCTGACGAAGTACTCCAGGCGCCCCATGCTGAGGCTGAGGTGTGCTCCATGCACTCCCTGCCGTGGAACTCCGGGCGCTCCCTGATGAGCTACTTCAAATTATCCGTACTGAGCAACTCGAGATGCTCCAGCCATTATGTACATCTGGCGCTGCATTTGATTCATCTGAACCGTCTGCATCAGTGCCGCGTTTGAATGGCATTCGCCCGTGATGATCTGACGTTCGCTCATGGCGATGACTTTGTTGGCGGGGCCGCTGATTGATCGCAGCGTTATGGTTCCGTCCCGCTGGCACTTAGAGGGATCTTGCTGCACTGGCCGTCGCTCCCGGTGACGATGATGCCTCCGCTGCTGGACCCGGTTTGCCATTCACGCTGGCTGTTCCCACTGGGCCCTGCCATGTCTCTGGTTGGTCCTTGTCCATGTCGCATGATTCGCCTTGTTCTTCCTGGAATTTATCCATCTGCTCTATGCTTTTTTTCTGAAATGCCTGAGCTCCTTCTCCGCCGCGAGCTCATGAAAATAATGAGCCCTGTGACGCGTCCCGATATGTTCCATTATGCCGAGCATCGTGTTGTACTTTGCCCTGGTCTCGTTGATACTTTTTCTGTGGCGGTTGTAGCAACAACATGTAGTATTTGTACATCGACAGATCGCCGATCGCCGTGGGACCTTTCTCCCTGCCAGTCTCGCCGAAACGGCAACATGAGCGGGACAAGACATTTTTCTTTGATGTCATATCTGAATTATGTGTGTAATGTCTCATCCTTGGGCGGTCTGTGGAAGGGGTCAAAATGCTGCGCTCTCTGTGGCTGCGCCGGCACCGTCTTCGAGACGAGCAGCCTGATTTCCATGTCCAACCCTTTGCCCACGCGACTCGACGTTTTGAGCATTTGTGTCTGCCACGGTGGTGTCTTCTTGCGTCTCGGAGTTCTTGGCCTGAAAAGCGCTCACGATGGTGTACTGGATGGTGCCTTGCCTTGTTGGTACAAAGAAAACCACATCGGCACCTGGTAAAAGACCAGGGAATACCACTCCGTCCAAGTTGATTCGCCCATCTCTATTCCTGCATGTAGGCACGTTAATGTGAGAACAATCTGTCGAGATCGCGAACAGTTTGTCGCCGAACTCGTGCTCGTCGATACCCAGCTGATTCATTATTCCCTACAGGTGTGGCTGAAGCGCGGCTGCTGAGCCGCTTGGGTCGTCAGGTGGCAAGAAGCTGCTGCAAATGCTGGGCAGCTGGTCCTGGCGGCCCTCATGGAACCAAGCCCTCCCCCCCATCTCCTCCACTCCCTGTCCTTATGGGTAAATCCTCCCTGTCGCACCCCGAAGCCGGTCGAAAGGGCAGGCCGTGCGTTTCGCCTGAAATTTCCGACCGCTTATGACCCAAATGCTTAAACATTGACAACAACTTCACAAATGGAGGACTGGTAGCTTTCAAAATGTGGCTCTCGCCTTGGCGCCGCGCGCATTCTTTTTAACACGCTGAACAAGCTTTACAGATTGAGGGTGTGTCGTTTCCAAAATGCGGCTCTCGCCTTAGCGCCGCGCACTTTCTTCATAACGCGCTGAAAGAGCGTCACGGATTGAGGGCGTGTCGTTTCCAAAATGCGGCTCTCGCCTTAGCGCCACGCGCACATTCTGTTTAACATGTTGAAAAGGGCTTCACGCATTAAGGGCGGGTCGTTTTCAAAATGTGTCTGTCGCCTTACCGCCGCGCGCACTTATTTAAACTATGTGCATGGGCTTCACGGATTGCGGGCGGGTCGTTTTCAAAATGTGGCTCTCGCCTTAGCGTTTCGCGCATTCGTTCTGAAAATGTGTACAAGCTTCACGGATTAAGGGCGGGTCGTTTTCGAAATGTGGCTTTCGCCTTAGCGCCACGCGCATTCGTTCAACAAATGTGCTAGAGCTTCACGGATGGAGGGTGTGGCGTGTCCAAAATGTGGCTCTCGCCTTAGCGCCGCGCACATTCGTTGTGAAAACTTGCTTCGGGCTTCACTGATTGAAGGCGGTTCCTTTTCAACATGTGGCTCTCGTCGTAGCGCCGCGCACATTTTTTCAAACATGTGCACGATGTTCAAAGATTGTGTGTTTGGAACGGGTCAGGATTGTCAGGGCGCAACAGCTACTTTGATTCGCTGTATCGAAGTCCCCAAAAATGGTGTTCTGGTGCGGTTCCCGATCGCCGGGACGTAACAGTCAGGTTAACCCGTGGCATGAAAGTCCTGAGAATGGTGTTCTGGCGCGCTTGAAGATGTCCACATGGTTGCCCCCCAAGCGGGCATTCCCCTCAGGGGAAGTGACCCCTTGCACGGGCCTGTGAAGAGAGATCTTGGTGGGAGGGTGTATTTCAACATCGTTGATAATTCTTGAGTTTGCACTGGTCCGTCTCCTCCTCCTCCTCGTCCTCCTCCTCCCTCCACTCCTCCTCGTCGTCCTCCTCTTCGCCTCGTCTCTATCCTCCTGGTACTCGTCAACTCGGCGCTTATATCTCTCCTTCTGCTCGCCCGGCTCCTCCTGACACTCCTCCTCCTCCTACGTATTATCGTGCTACCTCTTGCCTCTCCACCGCCTCATCCTGAACCTGCTGATCTCAATCACACTTTTGGAATGAGTGTTCCTCCAATTTCCACGTGGCCGCGATCCTCCTCTTGCTTTTCGAACTTCTCCGCCTTCACCTCTTCCTCCCCTCACTTCACCTCCGTCCTGTTCCTCAAACTCTTCACAGATGCCAGGGGTGATACCCTCGCAATCTTAATGCCGTGTACAAGGGGCGTTTCGTCCCCTCACGCGGCCAAACCTTCGGCAAGGTCGATCAACTCTCCGGCCCAAGCAGAGAACCGCGCTTACTACGCATCGCTCGGAAGAAATAAGTCGAAACATGAAGTAAGAAGGCGTTAAAAGTAGTTTTTTTGTTTGTTGCGCAGGGTATTGCAGTCTCCTCGTGTCTCTCATGCTTAAATCAGCTGCTCGGTGCCTCCAGCGAAGCCTGGCCAGCAAACTCAAGCTGCGGCGTTGATGCGGTGAGCGAGCGCACGGCGACTATCGCCACCGGCGGCGGCGTAGAAAACGTGCACGGGCTCGGAGGGTCTCCTGGCCCACAGGAAGGCCATGCTACAGTGTCTCACGCGAGACGCAAGCGGCAAGCGCCGTTACGACGCGAGGGGCGAATTGAGCATGCGCCCGAAGCGGCACGCGATGACGTGAATGCCTTGCTGCAGTCGGCTTCGCAGACACGGCCGTCCGGCCAAACAGAAAGCCAGCTCAGAGTCTCCGCAGTCGTTGACAACGAGCATAACTAGAGCAAGGGCAGCGCCCGACCGATCAAGAGATCTTCAAAGCAGCTTCAAAAGTACTGAGGTCAGAGAGTCTGCCGATCACCACTGTGACTATCGCAGTCTCAGGCAAGTCATGGAGGTGGCTGAAAACAGTAGTGCCCCCTCCTTTGAGGATGGACGTCTGCTCGCCCTCACTCCGGCATAGCATCCAAGCAGTCAACTTCTTTGGCGGTGACCGCTGGAGCACCTCGCGCCAGCAGAAGCGAGCGACCCACTGCAAGTCGTGCTCGCGCTTCAAGGTAGCCGGCACGTATTCCGCAGTCTCGTACTCTGGGTGAACGATTATGGCGGGAAGGTCGAGACGCTCCGCCGTCTCGATGCAATGCACGATGAGGGAGGCGGGGACCGGGACGAGGTCGTCGGCCTCGGCGGTGGCGCCTGACTCGGCAGGCTCACGGTCCTGAGCTGCGGCAGCATCCGCAGTGGCACGGACAGCTCCCTCACGTATGGTAGGAAGCTGGTCCCGTAACTGGCCGAAACCAGCTTCCTCAGGATGTTCACCCCCTGACGGCATCTTCGCGGGAGTGGGAGTGCCTGGAGCAGGGGTCTCCCGGGGCTCGCCCTCCTCCTCGTCCCAGACAGCGGCATCACGAAGGCCTACATCTGCATGCTCATGGGGTGGCACAGGAGGCGCTCCATCCTCCTCGTCCCGGGCAGCGGCTCCCCGAAGATCAGCTGCTGCTTTACCATGGTGTGGCAGAAGTGGGCTACCCTGGTGTCCCGTGCCAGCGGCGGCGGTCGGGGCCTCGGAAGCCTCAACCCTGGCAGCCTGAGGCGCAGACTCATCAGCTCCGCAGGGGCGCACGGCCCGTTCATCGTAGCCATGAGAAGGCTCTCCTGAGAGCTCTTCAGAAAGCGATGGCATCGGCGGCACGATCGGTAGTGTCGGTGTCGCCGGCCCACCCGAACCCATTGGGGAGCCGGGTGCATTCGTTTTGGCTGCACGGGGCGGCGGGGTCGTAGGAGCTGCCACGTCTGCTTGCAAGTCCCCCGCGAGCGCAGCCGCACGGTCGGCGCCAGCGGGCGGGAAGAGGTGAAGGCCCCAACCTGCTGGTACCCAAACCCATTGGCCTGGTGGCCCGTGGGCGCTGGGGAAAGTGGGCCAACAATATCCACTGTGGTGTTGCCCTGCAGGTCCAGCCTGCATGGCGACCGGGCCAGTGAAGTGCTGCTGCTGCTTCTGCTGCTGCGGCTGTTGGTGGTGTCCCGGCAGATGGAGGTGGCCTGGTTGCCCGTCCACAAGATGCGGTGGCGGCCGCCTCTGCTCTGTCGGCGCGGTTACCATGCCGGACTGGCCGCGCTCCTCAGAGGCCAGCAACACCGGGCTTGGCGCCGTGTCCTCTCCCGAACCGGACGCCCCGGCTTCCGGGAGCGGCGCAAGCCGGCCACTCATCGCGGCAGGGCCATCTGGAAGTGGCGAGTGCGAGGTGCCTGGCCCCTCTCGGTTTTCTGGGGCCACCAGGTTTGTTGGGCCAAGAGCCAAAATGGCTTGAGCAAAAATGGATACGGGGTTAGAAGTAGACTGTATATCCGCCAACCCTGTGAGAGAGAGAGAGAAAGGAGGACATCCGTTCGACACTTGAAATATGAGGGCTCCAACAGTAGATTGCAACCGGGTGATCCAGAAGTACCTACTTCGAGCTACCGATGTCTATCTTCGCGCCTGCGGATAACGTATCCCTCGGGCCCTCACAACCCAGCTGGAGAGCATGCGTGTGGCCTCGATCGGCGACGGCACCGCGGCAGCACGGGGTCGTACGCCACAGCCAGCTCCTGTACTCCATGGCGGCTGCTCTCTCATCCAGTTCCTGCCCTCCTCCATGTTTTACCCCTCCTCCTCCTCCTCCTCCTACTCCTCCTCCTCCTCCTCCTCCTCCTCCTCCTCCTCCTCCTCCTCCCTCCTCCTCCTACTCCTCGTCATGTTCCTCCTCCTCCTCCTCAACTTTGTACTTTGCGTCACACGCTCAATAAATACTTTACTGTATGCAGTCATTGACTTCAAGATTTCATCCTCTTGGGCCGTGAACGGGACTTGCATCCGCTGCCGGCCGTCAAGTGCCCAGCATAGACTTCAGTAAGTTCATGGACTTCAAGGGGAGGGGAAGGTACGTTTTTGGGGAAGGTTTCTTCTTCCTCCTCCTCCTCCCCCCTTCTACTCTTTTTCCCCTCTTCCGCCTTTCCTTCTCCCTCATCGCTCCGAGAAGGAGGGGGAGTAGGAGCGAGGTGCTCGACGGGGGCGTGACGCCGCGAGGTGGCGGCGGCTGGGGCGTGACACTCCTCCTGTGGACCGCCTCGCTCCTTCTGCGCCGTCCCCCTGGCTAGAGCCACCATAGGGCTCGGCAGCGGGCCGGATGCATCAGCCACCAGAAGGCGATGCCACCCGACCGCACCGGAGGCCACCATAGGGCTTCCAACGGCGACGAAGGACTTCATGGAACGCACTGCCTTCAATGGAAATCCCCACCACCCCTGGCGCAGCACGTGCAGCGTCAGGGGGGGGCGGCCCGCACACCCACTCTCCCACCAAATGGGAGGGTGCGAAGTCGCTATGTGCGGGACGGGGTGGGCAAGGTGGGACACCATATGCCACCAGAACATCAACGCCCGGGCACCATACGCCTGGCCGGCACCTCAGGGGAGGCACCATACATCCCCCCGCCAAATTTGTTCTTCGCGTCATACACTCAATAAATGATGTACTGCATGCATTCATTGACTTCAGGGTTTCCTCATCCTCCTCAGTATCCTTCGCTCCTCCCCACCTTCCTCCACCACCTCCTTCTCCTCCGTCTCTCCCCAAGATAGTCAATCATACTTATGATCGTCCCTCCTCCCCCTGCTCCTGCACCCACTCCTGGTCGGGAACTTTTGTGTAGCTCCACGACTATCACTTGCTTTTTCTCTCCTTCTTCTTCGTCCTATTTAGTGTCCAACTCCGCCCCGATTCCCCCTCTCCGCCTCCTGTCTCCTCCTTCTCCTTCGCCTCCCTTTCCTTGCTCCCCCTTTCCCTCCTCTTCCTCCTGCTCCTTCTTCTCCTCCTCTTCCATCCCTGTTCCTTGAACATAACTCCTCCCCGTCGCACCCTGAAGCGGGTCGGTATGGCGGGCCGGGGGTTACGTCTGAGACTTCCTCACCACTGATGGCCCTGAAGCATTGAATCTTGCAACCGCTCCACGGATGGAAAGCGGCCATTTTCAAAATGTGGCTCTCGCCTCAGCGCCGCGCATATTCGTCTCAACAGCTGGCAACAACTTCGCGGATGGAGGGCGGGTCTTTTTCAAAATGCGTCTCTCGCCATAGCGCCCCACACATTCGCCTAAACGTTTGCAATGATTTCACGGATTGAAGCCGGTTCCTTCTCGAAATGTGATTCTCGCCATACCGACACGTACACCCGTCTTCACAGCTCACACAACGTTCAAGGATTCTTATGGTTAGCGTCCCAGAAATTGTGCTTTTGGTACGATTCCATATTGTCTGGGCGCGGCAGGCACGTTGATTCGCGGCGTTGACGTCCCAGAGAGGGTGTTCTGGTACGGTGTAGGATCGTCTGGTCGCAAATGTAAAATTGATTCGCGGCGCTGAAGTCTCAGGAATGGTGCTTTCGCGCGGTTGAAGATTTTCAGACGATCGTCTTCCAAAGGCGCTCTTCATGCAGTGAGGACGAATCCTCATCGGAGCCTCGAACAATTGATCTCGACGGGAAGGTGCATGGCAGCATCGTTGATGGGTCTTGGGTTTACTGGTCCTCCTCCTCCTCCTCCCTCGCCCTCGTCCGCCTGCACCCTCCGAGGCAGACGGCGACGATGATGACAGCGCGATAACGACAGGACCGCGACGACTCCACGACGACCCAGCCGACGGCGACGGCGCAGCAACCGCGACGACTCAACGACGGTCCTCCTTGGTCTGCGGCGCCGCGCGCGGGCTGCGCCGCGGCGCCCGCCGAGCGGCCCTTGCGGCCCATGCTGCGCGCCCGGCCCCTGTGGGGCACGCCCGGAGGGTGTGGACTGGCGGCGCACGCAGAGGAGGAGGAGGAGGAGGAGGAGGAGGAGGAGGAGGAGGAGGAGGAGGAGGAGGAGGAGGAAGAGAAGGAGGAGGACAAGGAGGAGGAGGAGGTGGAGGGTTAGATGGGGGAGGAGATAGGAGGGGGAGGAGAAGGATGAGGAGGAGGAGGAGGAATAGGAGGAGGAGGAGGGATGCTGCGACGGGAGGGCGCCCGTCTAAGAAGGCGGGGCGGATCGCGCCGATGTCCGCCGGGGGCGGCGAGGCCTGAAAGACCAGGGAGCATCCAAGGAAGCGGGGGAGCTACGGCCAAGTTGCCACATATAGCGTGCACGCCCCCCCTCGAGGGACACAACAACACTCAAACGTGTGCACGCTATACGCCGGCTCTCTGGCGCAATTCCATTCCGATAGAAATTCCCCCCAAAATCGGAAGTCGTTCGTGCACTCTATACGGTTGCTGTGTCTCGGAGCGCACGTGCAATCTATACGTCGATAGGGCCCGACCCTGGAGGTGCAATCTGTACGTTTTTGAACCCTGCGTGCCCCCCCTCTTCCAAGCGACATGCTCACATGGCGCCCCGCGGGGGGGGGCATTCTATACGTGTCCTCCACCTCCAGCTCGCCATTCCACTCCGTCCCCTCCTCCTCCTCTTCCTCCCCCTCCTCCTCTTCCTCCCCCTCCTCCTCTTCCTCCCCCTCCTCCTCCTGCTCCTGCTCCTGCTCCTGCTCCTCCTCCTCCTCCTCCTCCTCCTCCTCCTCCTCCTCCTCCTCCTCCTCCTCCTCCTCGGTACGTGGGGGCACGTCCGACGTGAGAAAAAAACAACGTTTAGAGCGCATAGAGTGTACCTGTGTATCCAGAATGTCGATCTGGCTCAGCAGTCCCCAGGGCTGTCCTGGACCTCTCTGGAAGCCCTGTTGGGCTGTGTTTGTGGCGCTCGGGACCCCCCTGGGCCGTTCTGGGCTGCTCCTGGAGCCATCCCAAGCTGTCTTACAACTCTATGCGGCCCTCTGGACGTCACCTCTTGGAGCCCTGAACTGTTCTGTCCCCCCTTCTGGAGCCGGGGCCCGTGTAGCGTGTCCCCTGCCCCTCCCGCTTTCCCTGGGGTCAGGGCCATGTCGGGCTGTCTTGGCGGCCTTTTGAGCCTTCTTGGGGCCCCCGTGGGCCGTCTTGGGCCTGTCTGGGGGCCCTGCTGGGCTGTCTCTGTGGTTCTGGGGGCTCTTGTGGGCCGTTCTGGGCTGCTCATGGAGCCGCCCCAGGCTGTCTTACAAGTCTTACAACTCAATGGGGCCCTCTGGACGTCACCTCTTGTAGCCCTGAGCCGTCCTGCCCTCCTGGAACTGGGGCCCGTATATACCGTGCACCTTGCCCCCCGCCCTCCCGTCCCCTTCGCGTCGCGCTGGGCATCCCTGCAGGCCGTCTTGGGCAATCTTGGGCACCTGGGGGTCGATATTGGGCAGCTTGAGGCGGCAATCGGGGCCGTGCTGGGCTGTCTGGGCGGCCCTTTTGGCCTTCTTGGGGTTCCGTTGGGCTGTCCTGGATCTCTCTGGAAGCCCTGTTGACCTGTCTTTGTGGCGCTCGGGGCACTCATTGGCCGTGAAGTTATGGCCTGCATCTGGAGCCATCCCAAGCTATCCTACAACTCTATGTGGCCCTCTGGATGTCACCTTTTGGAGCCCTGAACCGTCCTGCCCACCCATGCTTGAGCCGGAGCCCGCGTAGCACCTGCCCCCAGCCCCTCCCGCCCCCCCGCCCCCGGAGATCGCGCTTTTTTTTTTTTGCAATCGTAGGCGATTTGGAAAACATTTTGGCTCGTTAAGGGTAGCAATCGGGGCCATGCTTGGCTGTCTTGGCGGCATTTGGGGCCTTCTTGGGGTTTCCCTTGGGCCGATCTGGGCTTCTCTTGGGATGCACAGATACCTACTAAGACTAGATATTCGCCTTGGAGGCGCGCGTCCGACCCGAACATCTAGTATACCCTTTTGTAATATATCGTTTCTCGAGGTTTGGCCAGAAAGCGCCCGCCTAAGATTTCTCGGTGCGCGCGTCGCCCTGGGGGTGCGACGAACCCATAGTATAGGTATGTTGGGGGGACGCCGATCTCTGGAAGCCCTGATAGGCTGTTTTTGTTGTGCTCGGGGCTCTCGTGGGCCGTTCTGTGTTGCTCATGGAGCCATACCAGGCTGCCTTCCAACTCTATGGAGCCCTCTAGACACCACTTCTTGGGGCCCTGAGCCGTCCTGCCCCCCGTGCTCGAGCCGGGGCCCGTATAGCGTGCACTGCACCCCGCCCCTCCCGCCCCGCCCCTCCCCGGGAGGTCGCGCTGGGCTTCCCTGAAAACAAACCCTCTTGGACAATCTTGGGCGCCTTGGGGGCCATTTTGGTTCGTTTGGGGCAGCGATCGGGGCCATGCTAGACTGTCTGGGCGGCCTTCCGGGTCTTCTTTGGGCTCCCTTGTGTCGTCATGGGCCTCTCTGGAAGCCCTGTTA